CGTACCCAACCCCTGCGCAAACGCGGGGCACAAATAGTTTAGGACACTTTATAAGGGGGGCGATGACGGAGCGAGGGTTACATATGTCTGCAGACGGAATTCGGGAGACTCGCAGGACACTGGTTACAGGACAAGGACTAGATAAAGCTGATTAGTTACAACCCCTGAGCAACCCTAGCCACTTCGAAAGCGGTGATCTCAGATCGCAACCCCCCAGGGACGGCGATGTCTAATTTGGGTCCGCCCGTGGCGTCACTGCGCTGGGCCCCCCCGCGGGCCTCGAAAATGGCGACAGTTTCACAGTTCGCAGCCCCCCAGGGATGGCGAGGTCTAATTTGAATCCGCCCGTGGCGTCACTGTGCTGGGCCCCCAAGCAGGCCTCGAAAGTGACGACAGTTTCACAGATCGCAGCCCCCCAGGGATGGCGAGGTCTAGTTTGAATCCGCCCGTGGCGTCACTGTGCTGGGCCCCCCAGCAGGCCTCGAAAGTGGAAACAGTTTCACAGATCGCAACCCCCCAGGGATGGCGAAGTCTTAATTTGGGTCCGCCCGTGGCGTCACTGTTCTGGGCCCCCCAGCAGGCCTCGAACGTGGCGACAGTTTCACATATCGCAAACCCCCAGGATGGCGAGGTCGAATTTGGGTCCGCCCGTTGCGTCACTGTGCTGGGCCCCCCCAGCAAGCCTCGAAAGTGGCGACAGACTCACAAATCGCAGCCCCCCCAAAGATGGCGAGGTCTAATTTGAATCCGCGCGTCGCCCTCACTGTGCTGGGCCCCCCAGCAGGCCTCGAAAATGGCGACACTTTCACAGATCGCAGCCCCCCAGGGATGGCGAGGTCGAATTTGAATCCGCGCGTCGCCCTCACTGTGCTGGGCCCCCCCAGAGGGCGTCGAAAATGGCGACAGTCTCACAAATCGCAGTCCCCCAGGGACGGCGACGTCTAATTTAATTTTGCGCGTCGCCCTCACTGTGCTGGGCCCCCCCCAGCAGGCCTCGAAAATGGCGACGGGTTCACAAATCGCAGCCCCCCACGGACGGCGAGGTCTAATTTGAATCCGCGCGTCGCCCTCACTGTGCTGGGCCCCCCAGCAAGCCTCGAAAGTGGCGACAGATTCACGGATCGCAGCCCCCCCAGTGATGGCGAGGTCTAATTTGAATCCGCGCGTCGCCCTCACTGTGCTGGGCCCCCCAGCAGGCCTCGAAAATGGCGACAGTTTCACTGATCGCAACTCCCCAGGGACGGCGAGGTCTAATTTGAATCCGCGCGTCGCCCTCACTGCGCTGGGCCCCCCAGCAGGCTCGAAAATGGCGACAGTTTCACAGATCGCAGCCCCCCAGGGATGGCGAGGTCGAATTTGAATCCGCGCGTCGCCCTCACTGTGCTGGGCCCCCCCGCAGGCCTCGAAAATGGCGACAGTTTCACAGATCGCAGCCCCCCAGGGATGGCGAGGTCAAATTTGAATCCGCGCGTCGCCCTCACTGTGCCGGGCCCCCCAACAGGCCTCGAAGGTGGCGACAGTTTCACAGATCGCAGCCCCCCAGGGATGGCGAGGTCTAATTTGAATCCGCGCGTCGCCCTCACTGTGCTGGGGCCCCCCAGCAGGCCTCGAAAATGGCGACAGTTTCACAGATCGCAGCCCCCCGCAGGCAAGACAGGAAGAGGCAGGGAGGGAGGAGGAGGAAGGAAGGAGTGGAGACCACACTGCTCTATTCAAAACGAACACCCAACCAAGGAGGGTTGGGACATCCAACCAAGGAGGGTCGGGAACATACCCTGCGACGCACCCAACCCAATGCAATCACGTGGCATGAAGAGTAGGGAAACATTAGCAGGAACAATGACAATGCATGCGCGGCGATTTGCAACGCAAGCTGCATGGGACACGTAACGTTGCACGACTCCCAGGACAGCAATCGATAACACGAGGATAACGGGGGCAGGAACGAGGGATAGGAGAAGGACGAACCTAACAGGGAGGGGCGAGGAGCCATCGCGGCAGCAGCAGCAGCGTGAAAGCATAAGGTGACAGGTGGACTAGGGCGGCGGTGATGACAGAGGAGGGAGGAAGCAAGAGACTGTTTCGTTTTTGCAGGAGCTCGGTCAACGCATGCCTGCTGCCTGTCCACAGGATCATACCTGTTTATATCTAGTGCAGGAAGCGATCGAGACCTAGCTCGCGCGCCAGCTTCTCTGCCTCCTGCATGTTGCAGTGCGGGAACTGAACTTCCGCAGTTTCTCCGCAAGGTCTGCCGGTGGGCCGCGGGCAAGAAAGTCAAGGCCGGGGTCGCGCACCATCAGTAGGTTGTCTATCGTCGTCGCCCTGGACAGCATCACGTAGAGGTGCAGCCATAGAGCGTCCAGGTCGTTCGCATCCTTGCACCCTGCGTCAAAAATGACTCCGCGGTGCATGGTGCGGCCCTGGCAGGCAGTGGACGTCAGGACCTCGGCGTGGGAGATGACGAAGCCAGTGCGCGTGACCTTGTACTTGCGGAAGTCGAACGGGCTCGAGATCTGTGGCTCGATGAAGACGAGGCCCGCCGCGTTCGCAGCGTCGATGCTGTCATCGAGCTCCTTGAGCTTCTTTCCAGGAATGGCGAAGACTAATCTGAGTCCCCGTAAGACGTCACTGTGCTGCGCCCCCCAGCAGCCCTCGAAGGTGGCGACAGTTTCACAGATCGCAGCCCCCCAGGGATGGCGAGGTCTAATCTGAGTCCCCGTAAGACGTCACTCCGTGCCCCCCCCAGCAGCCCTCGAAAGTGGCGACAGTTTCACGGATCGCAGCCCCCCAGCGATGGGGAGGTCTAATCTGAGTCCCCGTAAGACGTCACTGTGCTGGGCCCCCCAGCAGCCCTCGAAAGTGGCGACAGTTTCACAGATCGCAGCCCCCCAGGGATGGCGAGGTCTAATCTGAATCCCCGTAGGGCGTCACTCCGCTGGCCCCCCCCAGCAGCCTCGAAAGTGGCGACAGTTTCACAGATCGCAGCCCCCCAGGGATGGCGAGGTCTAATCTGAATCCCCGTAGGGCGTCACTCCGCTGGGCCCCCCAGCAGGCCTCGAAAGTGGCGACAGTTTCACAGATCGCAGCCCCCCAGGGATGGCGAGGTCCCATTTGAGTCCGCCGCGGGTGCAGACTGTGCTGGGCCCCACCAGCAGGCCTCGAAAGTGGCGACAGTTTCGCAGATCGCGGCCCCCCAGGGATGGCGAGGTCTAATCTGAGTCCCCGTAAGACGTCACTGTGCTGGGCCCCTCAGCAGCCCTCCAAAGTGGCGACAGTTTCACGGATCGCAGCCCCACAGCGATGGCGAGGTCTAATCTGAGTCCCCGTAAGACGTCACTGTGCTGGGCCCCCCAGCAGCCCTCGAAGGTGGCGACAGTTTCACAGATCGCAGCCCCCCAGAAATGGCGAGGTCTAATCTGAATCCCCGTACGACGTCACTCCGTGCCCCCCCCAGCAGCCCTCGAAAGTGGCGACAGTTTCACGGATCGCAGCCCCCCAGCGATGGCGAGGTCTAATCTGAGTCCCCGTAAGACGTCACTGTGCTGGGCCCCCGCGCAGCCCTCGAGAGTGGCGACAGTTTCACGGATCGCAGCCTGCCAGGGATGGCGAGGTCTAATCTGATCCCCCGTAAGACGTCACTGTGCTGGGCCCCCCAGCAGCCCTCGAAAGTGGCGACAGTTTCACAGATCGCAGCCCCCCAGGGATGGCGAGGTCTAATCTGAGTCCCCGTAAGACGTCACAACTCCGCTGAACCCCCCAGCAGCCCTCGAAAGTGGCGACAGTTTCACAGATCGCAGCCCCCCAGGGATGGCGAGGGGCAAGCGACGTAAAAGGCAAGAGAGAAGAGGAGGACCGAAGTTGAGAGGTGAAGGGAAGCAAGAGAGGAGAGGAGGAGCGAAGAGAGGAGAAGGGATGCAAGAGAAAAGAGAAGGAGGAGGAGAAGGGAGGAGAGGAGGGGGACGGGAAGGAGGAGCAGGGGAGACGCGACCGCAGTGCTCTATTCAAAACGAGTACCCAACGCAGGAGGGTTGGGAAAAAGGATCAAAATAATAGAAAATCGTCCCCAGACAAATTTTGACTATTTTTGAATATTCCTCCTGCAGAGCGACACGCCCGACTTAAAATTAAGCATCAAAAGAACAACTGACGCAGGGAAAGATTCTGGGGAGGACGAACCAAGAGTCTGAATGACGAGGGCGGCAACCACGAGCGGGCCTGGACCCCACATATCAATCTTCGGGCGGAGCGTTGCTGCGTGACGGGCACGCCCGGGCATCTCTGGATCGTCACCCCGCCCGGAGACCAATGGCGACCGCGAATCACCGCACGAGCGCTGGCAGGAGCACCGGCTTGATCTGTTCCACCATCTTTGGGATGCCGGTGTCCGCGCTTTGGGGGGGGGGGGCGCCGATTTTCGGCCAGATCTGGGGGCCCTGAGAGGCCCGAGACCCGCGTGTTCCCCGCCTCACCCCTTCGCACACCGCCGACGTTGAATGTTCACTCCCGCGCGCACGTAAAGAATAACACTCCGAATGTGTGACCAATTATCATGTCCAGAGCCAGCCTGCATCTCAGAGTCACCGCACTCCACCGCAAAAGTGGCAGCCTAAATCAAAAGGAGGACAAGGGACTGGGAGCAGCGGAAAAGGAGGAGAAAGACGAGGCGACTGCCGCCACACGCCGGAATGATGATCGAGGACGAGGTTCGAGGAGCAAGATGTTGCCTTGCGTGTTGCTTGTTTTCATTTTTTGGAAGAGGAGGAAGAGGAGGACGACGACGACGACGACAAGAAAGACGATGAGAAGGACGACGAAAAGGACGACGAGAAGGACGACGAGAAGGACGCAGAGAAAGACGACGAGAGGGAGAGAGGGAGGGAGGGAGGGAGGGAGGAGGGAGGACGAGGACGAGGAGGGAGGACACGGGGAAGCAGGGGGGAAGGGAGGTAGGCGGAGGAGGACGACGAACGACGGAGGAGCCAAGACGTCGCGCGGGAGGCCCCCCGCCGCCCCGGAGCCCGCCGGCCACGAGGTCGTCCCGCGCGCCCGGGAACCGCAGGGCGACCTGCACTCGCGCGCGCGCGCCGCCGCCGCCGCCGCCGACGACCACGGCGGCGGCGACGGCGGCGGCGGCGACGGCGACGACGCCGACGACGGCGACGACGGCGACGACGACGGCGACGACGGCGACGGCACCGACAAAGACGCCGCCGACGGCGGCGGCGGCAGCGGCGGCACCGACGGCGGTGGCGGCGGCGGCAGCGAGCAGCGCGGCAGAGAGCGGCGGCGACCTGCGCGCCGAAGCCCGGATCTACGCGGCCGGGGCCGACGAGCCGCTCCAGCGCC